AGGTGCTAGGAAGTGCTGGGATTATAGGCTTGAACAATCATGCCCGGCTGCTATTTTGAAATATGCAATACACCATTGTTAGCTGTAGTCACCCTATTCTGCTGTTGAACAGTGGAACTTATTCCTTCTATCTCACTGGATGTTTGTACCCATTAACCAACCTCTCTTCATCCCACACACCTTTCTCAGCCTCTGGTAACTATAATTCTACTCTACCTCCATGAGATCAATTTTTTTTAAGTTTCCAAATATGAATAAGAACATGAAATATCTGTTTTCCTGTGTCTGGCTTATTTTACTTAACATAATGACCTCCAGTTCCATTTATGTTCCTGCAGATGACAGGATTTCACCCTTTTTTATGGATGAATAGTATTCCATTGTGTATATGCACCATATTTTCTTTATCCATACTTTCATTGATGGACGCAAGTTGATTCCATGTCTTCGCTATTGTGAATAGTGCTGCAATAAACATGAGGATACATGTATTTCTTTGATATACTGATTTTTTTCCCTTTGGATAAACACCCAATAGTGGGGTTGCTGGATGATATGGTAGTTCTGTTTTTAGTTTTTTGAGAAATCTCCATAATGTTTTCCATAAACACTGTTCTAATTTACGTTCTCACCAGTAGTGTATAAGAGTTCTCTTTTCTCTGCATCCTTGCCAGCATCTGTTATTTTCTGCCTTTTTGATAATAGTCATTCTAACTGGGGTAAGATGATATCTTATTGTGGTTTTGATTTGCATTTCCTTGATGATTAGTGATGTTGAACATTTTTTTCATATGCCTGTTGGCCGTTAGTGTATCTTCTTTTGAGAAATGCTATTCAGATCCTTTGCCCATTTTTTAATGATATTGTTTCTTGTTTTGCTCCTGAGTTTCTTGTATATTCTGGATATAGTTCCTTGTTAAATGAATAGTTTGCAAATATTTTCTCCCATTCTGTAGGTTGTCTCTTCACTCTTTTATCCCTGTGGATAAACTTTCAAGTTTAATATAGTCCCATTTGCCTATTTTTGTTTTAGTTGCCTGTTCTTTTGGAGTCTTAGCCATAAAGTCTTTGCCTAGATCAATCATCCTGAAGTGTTTCTCCTATGTTTTCTTCTAGTAGTTTTGCAGTTCTAGGCCTTACATTTCAGTCTTTAATCCATCTTGAGTTGATTTTTGTATATGGTGAGAGATAGGTGTACAATCTCATTCTTCTGAATGTAGATGTCCAAGTTTCCCAGCAACATTTATTGAACAGGGTATCCTTTTCCCAATGTAGATTCCTGGCCTCTTTGTTGAAAGTCAGGTGAGTGTAAATATATGAATTTATTTCTGGGTTCTCTGTTCTGTTCCATTGGTCTATGTATGTATTTTTATACCAATACCACATTGTTTTGGTTGCCATAGCTTTGTAATATATTTTAAAGCCAAATAGAGTAATGCCTCCAGCTTTGTTCTTTTGGCTTAGGATTGCTGTGGCTGTTTGGGCTCTTTTTTGGTTCCATATGAATTTTAGATTTTTTTATTTCTGTGAAAAATAGCTTGGTATTTTGATAGGGATTGGATTGAACGTATAAATTACTTTCAGTTAGTATTGTCATTTTAACAATATTAATTCTTCCAATCCATGAGCATAAGATATCTTTCCATATGTTTATGTCCTCTTCAATTTCTTTGATCAGTATTTTGTAGTTTTCCTTGTAGAGGTCTTTTACTTCCTTGGTTAACCTTATTTCTAGGTATTTTATTTTAATTTTTGTAGCTATTATAAATGGGATTGCCTTATTGATACAATTTCTTCTTTTGTGCTCCTCCATACTACCTCCCTCCTTTCCTTCCCTTCACTTCCTCCCTTCCCCCTCCCTTCCATTTTTTGTTTGTTTGTTTTCAAGATACTTACCTTTAGCTTTCAAGTATTTTTGGAAGTATAGTTGGAGTGAACACTCAGCATCTTTTTTTTTTGGAGTCTCCCTCTGTTGCCTAGGCTGGAGTGCAGTGGTGTGATCTCTGCTCACAACCTTTGCCTCCCAGGTTCAAGCGATCCTCCTGTTTCAGCCTCCCGAGTAGCTGGGATTACAGACGTGCGCCACCATCCCCGGTTAATTTTTGTATTTTTAGTAGAGATGGGGTTTCACTGTGTTGGCCAGGCTGGTCTCGAACTCCTGACCTCAGGTGATCCACCTGCCTTGGCCTCCCAAAGTGCTGGGATTACAGGCCTGAGCCACCGCTCCCGGCCAACACTAAGCATCTTTTAAAATTGTCTTAAATTTTGTATTATGGACATTTTCAAACATGTGTGAAAGTAGAGAATAATAAATGGCATGAATCCAATTTCAGCAATTGTCAACATGTGAGTAATCTTGTTTTGCCTATACCTCTATCTGTCCCCATGCTCCCTCTCCCCACAATGGCTTATTATAAAGCAAATCTCAAACTTCATATTATTTCATCTGTAAATGTTACTATCTTTATTAGTTGATTTAATTAAAAGTTACTGAACATCTGCTCTGTCAGGTTATATGCTATGTTCTGATAAATTCTTAATCATCTTTCAAAGCTCAAATGTCACCTCTTCCTGGAAGCTTTCCCTGATTTTCCCTTCTCCCAAAAGAACTTAATGACTCCTTTCCTGGCATTCAGATTATATGCCTCCTTCACAGCGCTCACTGTTTAACAGCAATTATTTTAAATGTGAGGAGATAGTATAATATAATGCTTAAGAGCTTTGCAAACAAATAGACTTGGGTTAAAATTTCAATTTTTGCTTCAGAATCAAATAGACTTGGGTTAAAATTCTGCTTTCTGAGCTTAATTCCTCTGAACCTCAGTGTTCTTATCAGTAAAATGGGATATAGCACTCACCTTATATTGTGGGGAATAAATGGGTTATGAATCCAAAGTACCTTGCACAGTGCCTGGCACATAGTGAGCATTCCTTCAAGAAGTTACATGCTTCTCTTGCCACACTGTGCTGGAGGCAGGACCACAACTGTCTCTTGTGTGTGTGCTGGCATCTGGAAGCCTCTGTAGAAGAGTGTGGGAGGGGCAGCCTCCAATTACAGAAAGCAGGCAGACTGGGCCCTAGCAGCCCTGCCTGGCCGTAAACAGATTATCTGGCAAAGAGGGCTTCTGGTTCAACTTTTGGCTATTTAAGGGCATTAGTAAAAATCTGGAAAAATGATTTGATTTTGTCTTTTAATGTACACTTATTTTGTTTACTTGGAAACTACAAATTTGTCCCTCCCCTCAACTAAATAGTCTTTATTATAAACTCTGGAAAGAACAGAAAGAGAAGAAAAAATCACAGACTGAGCCCAGATCACCCATTTATGTACTATTGTATTTTCTTCTTCTTTTTAAAAAAATTTGTTTATGTTCCATCTATGAAATTATAATTGCATTTTGTTTACTTTTTGGTCCAGCTGCAGCTTTTTAAAGCCATCTTCATTTTGAGGGTTGACGTCTGACCTTTGAAACAAAAACTCCAACTGTGAAAGGGTTCGAGGGTTTGGATGTGGCTTCTTGACTGAGCAAGGGGTATCCAATGTGTGGCGGGCTAAACATGCCTGTAGCACCTCTCACTGCCCTGCTGGGGCTTCTGTTCTGAAAAGAGATTGGTTTGGGACAGGGCAGTATGGCCTAAACACTTGATACCCTGTTTAGACCAGGGTGATTCCACCAGTTTGCACCTAACTATCCATTGCTGTAAGGCATTTAGATGCATTATCCTCTGACCAATCCAGTGGAGTATTACTGGAATACAAAGGCTCAGAGAAGGAAAGAGACTTGCTCAGGTCACACAGCTAGAGGTGCGTGAGGATCCCAATTCCCAGCTCACCTTCCTGGGCCTCAGAGACTCCAGCATTGAGTCCATTCACCCCTTTTCTGCCTCTTGCTGAGTTCTACCTCCTTCTGGAAGCTCAAGGTTTCTACTCACATACCTCTGGGAATGGGAAGCTCACCACATTTCAGAGTCATCTCTGTCATCACTAGACAGCTTTCTCTCGCTGAACCAAATCCAGCCTCCCAGTGACTCTTTTCATCATCCTCAGCTCCATGCTCAGAGGGCACAGAGCAGTTTCTCTCCCTCTTCTGGTGCAGCCCTGCAGATATCTGGAGATAGAGGCCTCTGAGACTGCTACTCTTCAGGCTGGAAATTTCAGCTCCTCCAAGTATTTAACAGACTAAAGGCAAAATTAGTAACAAGAGAAGAAAACAGTTTTAATTAATTAAAATGTTAAATGAAATCAGTTCCATGACTCCACATGCCCTGAAATGTGAGGCATGGCCAATGCTTGTAGTCTTACCCTAAGTAGTCTAGAAGACAATGTATATTGCTTCTTTATTTTCTCCTCAGTTCAGATACATAACCCCTCCCCATCCATTTAAGCAGGTGTTGCTTAGGGCGGGTGTTAGCCTAGCTTCTCATCCCCCCATCCTGGACTGTGTCATCCCTGCCGGAGGCACAGATCCCCTCCAGGAATGCCAGACCAAAACATGGAGCTGCGTCCTGAGATGTCCTCCGGGTGCTGCAAACAGCCTGTCCACACCGGGACTCATCGTCATCGGTGCATTGCTCTTTGCTCACTGCACCCACTAATGTGTGTGAGCTCCCTTTGGCAGGGCTGTGGAGCTATGGTGCTTTAGAACAGTGCTTGGCACAGGAAGACACTTATGAAAGGTGTGTGAAATGAATACATACATGCCCTCTCCTCACTCCCAGCTTGCTGCTCTTCTAGTTTCCTCTAGTTTAAAAAATAGTACCAGCCAGGCATGGTGACCCACTCCTGTAATCCCAGCACTTTGGGAGGCCAAGGCAGGCGGATCACCTGAGGTCAGGAGTTCGAGACCAGCCTGACCAACATGGTGAAACCCCGTCTCTACTAAAAATACAAAAATTAGGCATGGGGGCGGGTGCCTGTAATCCCAGCTACTCGGGAGGCTGAGGCAGGAGAATCACTTGAACCCAGGAGGTGGAGGTTGCAGTGAGCCGAGATTGCGCCACTGCACTCCGGACTGGGGGACAAGCATGAGATTTCGTCTCAAAAAAAAAAATAGCACCAAGTTCCAAGCACTGTCTGAGTCAGAGGATGAAGCGCCTCCTTGATTGTACTCTTTTGAATATCTCACTTCTGCATCTATGCAGCTAGCTTGTCCTGCCACTTGTACTCCTTAAATTGCTCTTCCATCCTCCAATACTCTCTGTGCACTGTTTTAAGCCAAGGCATCACCATCCTTCTCCTGGATCCCTTCCACAGCCTGCTCACTGCCCACTGCCCACCGCCCCGTTTGGCCCATTCTTCCAGCTGTGGTTGGAGAGAGCTTGCCGAAATGCAAGACTTTCCCACATTGCATCTTTGCCTAAAACCCTACGTTGGGTCTGTATTATCTGTAAGGTGAAGACCGCACCTCTTAGGTCCTGCAAGCTCTCGAGACCTCTTTCCTGACCACCGCCTGCTCTCCAGCCAGGCCCATCTCCCATCAGCTCTGTGCGGTGTGACTTTCCCTCCCTGCTCCTCCCAGCCTGGAGGTGCTCTCTTCCACACCACTCCCCAGCCCCAGTTGTTGCAGACTTTCTCCCTCTAGGTCCTAGAGGAGTGCCTCCACAGTGGCACCCACGTGTCCCAAATATACATCTCCAGCCTGGACCTCAGTTCTGACCTCCAGACTCACATTCCTGTCTCCACACCAAACTGGTGAATCCTGCCCCTCCTTCAGAAAAAAAGCCTCCTCCTCCTGTCATCCTCCCCACCTCAGTCTGCTCCAGCTGAGCGGATTAAAAACCTCAGAACCATTCTTGGCTTCTCTCTTCCTCTCACATTCCAGACCAGGTTGGGTTTACCCTCAGAATACATCTAGACTCAGAGCATGCATCCTCAGCTCCACGGCTGCTCCACATCCCAGTTGCCTTGAGTTGCACTGGTCTCTCGTCTGGAGCACTGCAGAAGCCTCCTTGCCGGCCTCCCCGTTCTCTCTTCTTGCTCCCACTGTCTCTTCTCCACATGGCAGTCAAACCATGTCTCCTGTGCTCAGATTCCTCTAGCAGCTCTTTGGTCTTGTTGGAGTAAAAGCCAGAGTCCTTACAACCACTCACAACACGCCAGATGAGGGGGCCACGCCCTTGCTTTCCAACCTCCTCTCCTCCGCTCCCTGCACTCACTTCCCTCAGCCACACTGACTCCCTCCAGCCTCCTTCCTCAGGGCCTTTGCACTTGCCTGTCTCCTTGCCTGGGGTCTTCTCCCATCCACGGCTGAACGTCTTACTTCCTCACGTTCAACTCTTGGCTCAAATGTCACTTCTTAGAGGTGCCTTCCCTGAGAATCTGTATAAAATAGCACACGCTCTTCTTGCAGCCCCCACCATTTTCCTGATCCTGGACTTTTCCATATTGCCATCGGAACTGTTTTATCTGTCTGTTTCCTGGCTGACCCCTCTAGAATGTCATTTCTATAAAGGCAGGGGCTTTGTTTTGCTCATTCCTGTATCCCTAGCATCTTGAACAGTGCCTGGTCCACAGGAGGCTCTCAATAATTAATTGCTCAATGAATGAATCTTAGGCTTCATACTACATTTTTCTGACTTCCTAGACTGGATGGTAAACTCATTTATGTACTTTTAGCACCTGTACCTTTCCTTCAAAACATTTACTGCAACTGTAATTACAAAACTGTATAATGTAATCTTGATCTTATTCTCTACAGGTTGGGCATCCTTCATCCAAAAATCTGAAATCTGAAATGCTTCACAATCCGAAACTTTTTGAGCATCAGCATGATGCCACCAGTGGAAAATTTCACATGTGATCTCATGTGATGGGTCAAAGACAAAACACAATCAAGGCCGGGCACAGTGGCTCATGCCTGTAATCCCAGCACTTTGGGAGGCCAAGGTGGATGGATCACCAGAGGTTGGGAGCTCAAGACCAGCCTGACCAACATGGAGAAACTCTGTCTGTACTAAAAAATACAAAATTAGACAGGTGTGGTGGTGCACGCCTGTGCGCCTAATCCCAGCTACTCAAGAGGCTGAGGCAGGAGAATCGCTTGAACCCGAGAGGCAGAGGTTGCAGTGAGCCGAGATCTCAGGAGTCTGAGACCAGCCTGGGCAGCAAGAGTGAAACTCTGAGTCAAAAAACAAAAAACAAAAAAACCAAAACCAAAACCAACCAAACAAAAACCACACAGTCAAAACTTTGTTTCATACACAAAATTAGTTAAAATATTCTAAAAATTACCTTTAGGCTATGTGTATAAGATGTATAGGAAACAAAGGAATTTTATGCTCAGACTTGGGTCCCATCCCCAAGATATTTCACTATGTGTATACAAATATTTCCAAATCAGAAAAAAAATCAAAAATCGGAAACACTTCTGGTCCCAAATATTTCAAATAAGGGCTACTGTATTTCCAGTCTCATAGTAGCCACTAAACACGTGTTGAGTGAATGAATGAAAGAAAGCTAGGATATTATTTGAGAAACTGACCAATAGCAGGTGCTTGACAGAGGGACTGGACCCTGGGCTGGACATAGGGACCCCTGGGGTTTAGCCCCATCTCTCCCATTGACTTGCTCTGTGACTTTTAGTTGATGACTGTCCATTTCTGGGTCACAGTTTCCCCAGTTGAAAAATAAGGAGCAAGATTACATCATTTAGAATGAGCTTTCAGGCTTGAAGAGATAGTGACTCTAGAACCCAGTACTCCCAGCTTGCTTCCACTGCTGGCCTGGAGCCCTGGGTAGGGAAAAGCTGTGCTTGGACCCAGCAGGGTAAGATTTGGCTTTGGGACCTCTGCTGGCGGGCTGGGCTTCTGGCAGGGGGCCAACCCTTGAATTTCTTGGCTGGATGAGTGGGCGGCAGGATGGGTTGATTGATCTTTCCCCATTGTGGGGTCCTGGCCATAAATCTCCCCAGCCTAGTGGGGTCGCCCAGGACCCAGGAGTCATAGCCAGTGCATTCCTTGGCTTAGCTGGCTCTGGGCTGCTGCTTTCTGCCCCTTACAGCTCCCAGACACTGGAGCCCCTGTGGGAGTAAGCACCCATTCAATCTGATCATAGAGCCTAGCTCTGTGCTCCAGAAAGCGTCTGTCCAGAGAGCTGCCAATCTTTCTCCAGATCCGATCTTAAGATCACATGGCATTGTTTTGAGCAGATATGCCTTAGGTTCCTGGTGAGCCAGGACGTAACCCTCTTTGTGCCATGGAACCCTTGGGCAGTCTGATGAAGCCCAAGGACCCCTTCTCACAGTAATATTTTTATTTATTGACAAATTAAATTAAATTAACATATTTTTTTGAGACCGAGTCTCACTCTGTTACCCAGGCCGGGGTGCAATGGCACGATCTCAGCTCACTGTAACCTCCGCCTTCCAGGTTCAAGCAATTCTCCTGCCTCAGTCTCCTGAGTAGCTGGGACCATAGGCATGTGCCACCACTCCCGGCTAATTTTTGTTATTTTTAGTAGAGATGGGGTTTCGCCATGTTGCCCAGGCTGGTCTCAGACTCCTGACCTCAGATGATCCGCCTTCTTCCACCTCCCAAAGTACTGTGATTACAGGTGTGAGCCACCATGCCCGGCCTCTCACAATAATGTTTTTAAGTGCATAAAATAAAATGCATAGCATTGCAAAGGAAGTCAGTTACCTTGAGATGTACTTATCAAAATATTAAAAATATAAGTTTGTAATACAGTGATTTATGTGTCCATTTATAATGTATTCAACAACAAGATCTTGTGGAAGGTCCAATGACTATTGTACTTCTATAGTGGTGAGCATAAGATATATCCAGATACCTGCAATAATTATATGGTGATATGAAAATATCATAGACAGTCTGTGGTTTGTTGCCTTCATCCCATGGAAAAAAATGGTAAATTTTATTTATTTTTATTTTTTTTTGAGGTGGAGTTTCACTCTTGGCGCCCAGGCAGGGGTGAAATAGTGCGATCTTGGCTCACCGCAACCTCTGCCTCCTGGGTTCAGGCGATTCTCCTGTCTCAACCTCCCCAGTAGCTGGGACTACAGGCACCCACCACCATGCCTGGCTAATTTTTGTATTTTTAGTAGAGACGTAGTTTCACCATGTTGGCCACACTGGTCTTGAACTCCTGACCTCAGGTGATCCACCCACCTCAGCCTCTCAAAGTGCTGGGATTACAGGCGTGAGCCACCACACCCAGCTGAAAGTGGTATAAATTTAGTTAGAGGTTAGTGAAATACAAATGTAATGTTTCCCTGTCCATGTTCATAAGCTAGAGTTCTGTCCATGGCCCTCTGGGAAGGGAGTGTTACATGAAGGGGAGCCAGGTGAATGAAATTTTAAGTCTGAGAGGAGAGGGGCTCACCACAGTCCTAACCAGCTGCTTCCTTGGGACCTTATTAATATATGAAAAGATCTCATAGTCTGTTAACGGAGTCACAGGATCACAGGCTCCAGAACTGGAAGGGCTAGAACCCTGCTACAGTTTCAGTGTATGTCCCTCTAAAATTCATATGTTAAAACTTAAACCCCAATTAGCTGAGCATGGTGGTGGGGGCCTGTAATCCCATCTACTCAGGAGGTGGAGGCAGGAGAATCACTTGAACCTAGGAGGGGGAGGTTGCAGTGAGCTGAGATTACGCCATTGCACTTCAGCCTGGGCAAGGAGAGCAAAAACTCCATCTCAAAGAGAACCAAAACAAAACACAAAAATAACCCTTAAACCCCAAGGGTTTATTAAAAGCTGGGACCTCTTGGAAAGAGGTTAAGTCAGGAGGGCTTCACCCCTGTGAATGGATTAGTGTTCTCAAAAACGGGGTTGAAGGGAGTGTCCTGGTCCCTTTCACCCTTCCATCCCTCCCACCGTGTGAGGGCACAGTAAGATGTGTCATCTTGGAAGCAGAGGGCAGCTCTCACCAGATGCCAAGCCTACTGGTGCCTTGATCTGGGACTTCCCATTCTTCAGAACTGTCAAAAAGTAAATTTCCGTTCTTTATAAATTACCCAGTCTAGGATATTTTGTTAAAGTGGTACAAAGAGACTAAGACAAACCCCTTTTGCAGACACCTCATTGGGTGACCTGGTCCATGGCCTCTGCTCTTACTTGTCTAGGGATGGAGAGCTCACCCTCCAGCTCATCCTCATTGCAGGCTGAACAGCTCCAACTGTCAGAGGAATGGTGGCCATGTCTTCTCCTTCACATACAGAGATGAATCAGACACAGTCCGTGCCCCACAGCTAGAGAGTGGAGAGAGACAAGGACTCAACTACAGATCAAATGTTTTATTCATTGAACAACCTTTCTCTGAGCTTCTGCTCTTTGTCAGGCCGGTGGTAGGCACTGCATATACTGACATTTAATTTCATAAAATGTGTGTCCAGTGTGTACTCAGGCACTGTGCTCAGTACTGGGTGGTAAGGGAGAGATAGACATGATACCTTCCCTCCATGGAGACAATTAATAAATGAGTAAGCATACAAATCAGTGTGTAATTGCAACTCGTGATCATGGTTGTGAGGAGATGAGCAAAGGAGACTCGTAGAAGGAAGTGACTTCAGATGGAAGAGAATGGAAGTGAAGAAGTGTTCTTGGAGAAAGGGATGTAAAGGAAGATCAGCTTGCTGGGCAAATAGGAGTGGAAGAGTGTTCCAGGCAGAGAAAAGAGCAAGTGGAGAGGAGTTTCTGATGTCGGAAAGAGCTTGGCTTTTGTTAGGAAGTGACAGGAGGCTCCAGGGCCAGACTCGGCTGGAGAGGTGGGTAAGGGAAGATTGCCTGGGCCCTCAAACCCATGCAAAGAAGTTTGCATATTATTTTAAGGGCCGATGAATGCCATAAAAGGGCTTAAGCAAGATATGTTTGAAAGAATAAAACAAGGTCTCCAGGAGCTCTCCAGCTTACAGCAATGATATTAACAAGATGAAGTATTATAAGAATGAGTAAAGAGCTGGGCACGGTGGCTCACGCCTGTTATCCTAGCACTTTGTGAGACTGAGGTGGGTGGATCACCTGAGGTCAGGAGTTTGAGGCCACCCTGGCCAACATAGTGAAACCTCATCTCTACTAAAATACAAAAATGAGCTTGGTGTGGTGGCGGGTGCCTGTGATCCCAGCTACTCAGGAAGCTGAGGCAGGAGAATCGCTTGAACCCAGGAGGCGGAGGTTGCAGTGAGCCAAGATTGAACCACTGCACTCCAGCCTGGGTGACAGAGAGAGACACCTTCAAAAAATAAAATAAAATAAAAAAAATAAAAAAAATAAAAAATAGTAAAGAAAGCTTTTATATTTGTGTTCTAAACACGCTTCTTGAATGTTCTCTGTACTTTTTCTCAGGCTAAGCTCTTTGCCTGGATTCCTCTCCCCAGGCTGTCTGCCCAGTACAACACTCTGGCTAACTTTGCCAGCATCACCTCCTCCAGGATGCCTTCCTTAACAATGTAGTCCACCAATGTAGTCCACCAACGTAGTCCACCGTCAGAGCCCTGAGCACGCCCTGTATGCTGTTCCCAGACTATTTACATGTCACTGTGCACCGTCCCTTTCTTCAGACCACCCCTGGAGGCGGGCAAAAGTCGGGGCTGGAGGGAGGGGAGGTTGCAGAATCTTCAGCAGCAAACTGGCTCCCTGCACGCCTCAGTCTGGGATTGGAACTAGACACTGCCACCTGCTGGCAGTGAGTGGAATGGCTGACAAGATGGGGTTGGGAGGAAGGAGACTCCTGGAAACAGTCCAGGCCCACTTTGGCTTTTCTGAAGGGCAATCGCATAAGGTCTAGCTGGATGGAGGGCTTGTCTAAGGGGCCTGATGGTTCTGGGTGACAGCTGGGCTGGAACAGGAAGGAGGAACTGAACGTTGATGGACACACGGTGCAGCCCTGTGGGACTGCTGAGACCTTAGTCTAGTCCCTGGGCCCAAGCCAGACCAGTAGGGGGGCCCACCTTGTTACCATGGAGATCAGGGCTGTGTTCATACAGCTGGAGAGATGACCCTCCACCCGTGTGAAGACCTCCAGGGAGGAGGGGCCAGCCTCAAAGCCAAGTGTCCACCCATGCCCCCTCTTTTCTGGAACAACTTGTTTTGCTCTAAAGCTTGGGACTTTGACCCAGGAGGTATGTTTTCCTCCTGTTGGTCACCTGATGTCCTTCCTGCTCATCCCCTTCCCCCACCACTGCTGAAGCACAGCCCAGGGGATCCTTTCCTTTCCCTGGGTTTTTCAGGGAAGTGGAGGATACTGGGGTGAGGAAGGCAGAACCTGGGACTCGAGTGCTGATGGCACTGGTTGGAGGGAGTGGCACAGCTGTGACCCCCACCCTCCTTTTCTTAAGTCTCTCCTTGCTAGGCTCCTGGGACACCCCACTTTTCTGGGGTTGCTTCCTCCTGTTTCCTCCTGCCCCTTCTTCCTTTGAAAGACCTTTACGTGTTGGGGCCGTGTCTCTTTCTTTCTATGCTCTCCTCTTGACACCCCTACCCCCACTACACACAATGGGGAGACCATGAGCTCCCAGGCCTCAGTTACCATCCCTGTGCCGCAGACGGCTCCCAGATGCCCCACTCCAGACCCAGGGATTCTGCAGCCTTCCAGACGTCTCCCTCTGGAAAGTCCACAGGCACTGCAAGCATAATACCTCAAAATCTATAGCTCGTCAATCCTCCCATCCCCCAAACTTGCTCTGGCCCCTACTGAGGCACCAGCATCTACCCAGCTGCCTACGCCAGAAACCTGGGAGTCACCTGCACCCCTGCCTCCCGCCTGTACCCACTCCCAGTTCAGCACTGTGTTCCAGCAGCCACCCCCCAGCTTCTCTACCTCCTCAACAGGGCTCAGATCGGTTCCCACAGCCACTCCCTGCCCAGGTCCAGGCACTGGTGTTGTGGCCACTATAGCAGATCCCCGGACTCCTCTTCTCCAGCCTTTGCATGCCCCTTTCCCTCTCCACACTACATGGAGAGGTGTTTTCCCAAACGCAAAACTGACCACGTGACTCCCCTCCTTAAAATTCTTGGAGAAGTCACCAGTAGCTGTTTGCTAAATTCAGCCCCATTCCTTACGTTCCAATCAGTGATTCTCTGGCTGTTCATTAACATGCACAGTGCTTACTCCAGTCTGTGCTAGAAGATTCTGAGGGCACCAAGTTGGGGGTGGGAGGGAGGACAGGATATACATATTTGGGAGGCATCACTCAACTCCAAGCAAAGTTCCCCCAGATCACCTTGAGATACTCCATCTTTGGATGGCAGTGGGCCCAACTGCACACGCATGTGAACACACATCCCCCCACCACACACACCCCCACCCCACACACACCCCACACACAGGAAGCAGGCCCGAGGCACGATGTCTGAGTGCTCCCGCTGAAACATGAAGGCAGAATCATCCTGCCATGGGAAGGGCTGCCAAGGAGGCCTGATGAATAGGAGTTTGGTGGCTTCAGGAAAGACAGGCTGTGGAGGGGCCTTCAATTCAGGCGCTGGCTCCTAGGGACCTTCCGTCTCTGATGAGATTTTGTTCCAGTCGGCCCGCTCGTTTCTAGGGAGTCAGCATCTCAGCTTCCCATACTTCTGGGGTGGGGCTGGGGCAAGGAGACCAGCATGACCCTTGGTCAGGGGTCTGCACAGGAACTCTGGCCACTCTCAGTCCCTGAGTTGGAGGGCCAGGTGGACACCACATGATCCTGGGGAGACTTTTGCCTTTTTGGAGGGCTCTGGCTCCAGGGCCTCCCTGTTCCAGGGGCTAGGTGTGCCTCCCTCAATGCTGCTTTTGGCTACGAGGGTGGTGGGCCCAGGGCTTCTGGGCCCCAGATCGCACCTTGCCACCTGGGGTGTCCCTCCTTTGTCCCCCACAGCAGGCTGTGTTTGCCCATTTTGTCCTCTGCCATGGGTGGAGATGGATCTGAAGTTGGGTGTTGAAGCCTCTGACCAAGCCGGTATCTTGTTTTGAGGCCCTGCCCGGTTTCCAGGGACCACATCTGGGGCCAAGCCAAGAGGAAGAACCGAACTGGGCCTAGGTCAGCTGGGCTGGGTCAGGGCTTTGGCATGGGCTGTGAAAGCTGGGGACTGGGACCTTCAGGTTCTCTTTGGAGATCTTTGCAGGAAGGGGTGGATTTAGGAAGCTACTGGGCTGGGCCAGGGCGTGGAAGGCACTGAAGCCGTGGTGTGTCCCAGCATTAGAGTCTCAGGGTTTGGCTTGGTGGGGTAGGGGCAGGTGAGGGGGAGAACAGGAAATAGGCTAGGCTCTCAGGGGAGTCTGGCAGCTTTGAGCCTTCTCTGGGCTTCTGGGGTTTTCCCCAGGCTCCTGAGCCAGCCAGCACATTTCTTAATCCCACTGTCAGCCTTCCAAGAAGCCCCGCCCACTGGGCTCAGTCAAGGCAGGAGCGACTATGGTCACCCCTTTCCCTAGAATCCAGCCCCACTGCCAGGAAAAGGGAGCTCAGGGCATGGAGGTGAGGCTGGGGCTCTCCCACATCTGCTTGGTCCTCATACCCACCTCCTTAGCTGGCCCCGGTAAGATGACCTCGAATGCCAGCACAAGTGAGCTGGGCACTGGCCAGGGGAGGCCAGGCCTGGCAGCTCATTACCATGGGAGGGAGGGCAGGTTCTCTCCAACGCCCCGTCTTCATTTCTCCTCCCTCCCTCGCCTTCCTCCTTCCTAGCTCCTCTCCTCCAGGGCCAGACTGAGCCCAGGTTGATTTCAGGCGGACACCAACAGACGCCACAGCAGCTCCAGGAGCCCAGACACCGGCGGCCAGAAGCAAGGCTACGAGCTGCTGCAGCCATGTTGGCCCTCAGCCTGCTCATTCTGGGCCTGCTCACGGCAGTGCCACCTGCCAGCTGTCAGCAAGGTAGCTCAGGAGGAGAGGGTTGGGCACCGGAGCCCGAGGGGCGGATGGGTGGTGTTCTGGCTCCCCTCCCCAGGGCCTTGATACTTAGAGTTTGGAGGGGGAGCAGGGACTGGGCTAGCTGAAAGAATGTCCCAAGACAGAGACCTCTGAACCAAGTCTCTGCCTGTCACTTGTTTTCAACGAGTGAAAAGTGGCAGCAGCAGGGAAATGTTGGTTCTAGGATCTTGGGGAGGAACAGAGCAGGAGCAGGCATTGCCCAAGGGGTGGCTGGGTCCTGAGCACAGGGGGCCCGGGGATACAAGGCGGGTGAGAATGGGGCCCAAGCTACCCCTCAAAGGCTTGGGCTTTGTCTCAGCCTCTTGGGCTTGGGTAGAGAACGGTGTCCAGTGTGACTCCCCCAAATATCTGAGCTCTTCGTCCTGCTCTGCCTGAATTGATGTGTGACCTTGAGCAAATCACTGCCCCTTTCTGAGACTCAGTTTTCTCACCCATAAAATGAGAACAATAAGCCCCACCCTGCCCACCTCCTGGGGCTGCTGCCAGGTCAGGGGTGTAGAAGGGCTTTGCACCTGGTGAAGCAACACAGCCAAGGTCTGGCTTTCATTCTACACTGTCAGGCTGCACCTGCAGCCAGAGTCTGGGGACTCTGCAGGTGGGACTTGGTCCAGAGGGGACTGGCAAAGATGCTTCCAGAGCTCCCCTCCCACCCCCACCCCAAGCTCTCATGTGTGTCCGCTTCAACTCTGTCTCCCGGGTCTTGGGAGCCCTCTGGGGAACTGCAGACCAGAGAGGTTGAGTCACACAGCAGGGCAAGAAAGGACAGGGCTCAGACCACCTTTCTCCTGCCCCAGGCACTGCCCTTTGCTGTATGTGCTAACCCCACATGGGAGGAGGAGCAGGGACTGTGGTCCCTGGGGTGACTGGAGGGAATTGGCTGCGGGGTCTAGGAGGAAACAGGGAGAGGCCTCCAAGGGTTGAGCCCTAACTCCCCATGCTTGAGCAACCGCTGACCTGAGGGAGCAGTCTGAGCCCCTAGGGAAGCAATGACTCCAAACACTGCTTTTGGCAGGTGTGGAACCGAGGATAATCACACTGTGTGTCTTCTGCTTCCCCTGGAGATAAGTGAGGTCTGACCTCACTACAGGCCAGAGAGTGCCTAGCCTCCTTCCTCCTTCCCAATATTTGCCAGGCTCGGAGAAGAGGTCAGGCCTCCACTGCAGCAGGACAGCTTTTGGTAGACTCAAAGGAGGACATTTGAGCAGGAGTGAGCCAGAGGAAGGTTTTCTGATGTCCAGCCTGGGTCCCTCAAAATACAGGGATGCAGGTATTCTGGCCTGGAGGCAGGACCCCTCCGAAGCCTCCCGCTGACCTGTGTTTTGTCCTGGGACCTCTCCCTGCTGACGGTCTTTTCTCTGCAGGGCTGAGCTCCTGCAGGCTCATGGAGTGCAGTGATGCTGGGGAGGAGGAAAGTCCTCTGGGGAAGCAGGGGCCTGAAGGCAGGGACTTCAGGGAAGTCTTGAGGGACTGTGTTGGTGTCAAGGATCAAAAAGCAGAGAAGGGACCTGGTGCTCATGCCTGTAATCCCAGCACTTTGGAAGGCCAAGGCCGGATCGCCTGAGCCCAGGAGTTTGAGACCAGCCTGGGCAAAATAGTAAGACCCTGTCTCTATTAAAAAATAAAAAAAAAAGAGAAGGGTGCATGGTTGGGGCCTCAACTTAATCTCTGACCCTAGTCCCTGGGCACCCAGCTGGAGGAACCAAAAGCAGCTCAGGTTTTGAGGCTTCTTTCCTGGTCCCCAAGACCCAGAGAAGAGCTCACCCCTCCTTTCATCTAAAGATGTCCTGGTCCACTCCTCTCTCTGGGTACCCCAGGCACCGCAGATCTCCCCAGCTGAGCAGCCCTGAGAGTCTCCCACTCTCATACACTTCTTACCATCAGAGAAACCTCTCGCTACAGAACAGGATCTTCTAGATCCCAGACCAGTCTTGTCAGCTCTGGGTCCTCCTCAGCCTTCTGGGAGCCACTCCCAGCTGCAAGGCCTAGGTTGGCTGTCCAGGGGGCTGCCTTTTGGTCCCTGGGGCCCAGGTGCTCCCTGAGCCCTGCATGTGACCCCCCTTGGGGAGGGAAAGAGGCTCTGGGATGCCTAGATCTCAGATACAGCACTCTGAGGCTCTTCCCTCCTTGGCTTCTCACTCCTTCCAACTCCTTTCTCTCTGAGCCTCTGTCGTTCCTCCAACTCCCTCCTTTTCCTAAGCTCAGTGGAGCTTAAGATGCTTGAGTGGGTCAGATGGGCCATATCCCACCCCTGCCTCGCCAGAATGTCTCCTTCGTCCTGGCAGCTGGCTGAGGGCCTTCAGCACAGGTGGGGTCCTTGGGGAGTGAGGCCCCCTCGCTCTCCTGCACATGCAGCCCCACTGTGGCCCCGTCTGCTACAGCCCCTCTCCCTTTTTTAGGCCTGGGGAACCTTCAGCCCTGGATGCAGGGCCTCATCGCGGTGGCCGTGTTCCTGGTCCTCGTGGCAATCGCCTTTGCAGTCAACCACTTCTGGTGCCAGGAGGAACCGTGAGTGCTGCCCAAGGGCCCCTGAGCAGGCAGGGTGGGCCCAGGACCACTGCTCTTGCTCTAGTAGCAGTGAGAAGGCCCTCAGAAACCCTGTGTCCAAACCTCTCCGTGTGTGGAAGGGAAACTGAGGCTCAAGGTCATAGGGTGGGTTGGTGACAGTTGGAATGAGAGCCTAGGCTTGCTGGCTCCCAGACCTGGGCTCTGTGGGCCCCACCGCTCTGGTGCCCGCTCCCTGTGAGCTTTGGAGAAACGGCTTCTCTTCTTGGAGTCTTTGTGTTTCTGCAGAGCCAGGATAGCAGCCCAGCCTGTGATGGGAGCTGTAAGGACCTCTAGAGGGGGTGGTCCCTCCTGGTGGGTCAGCTGTGGTACAGAGAGGGCATGGGACAGACACACCTCCTGCCCTCATAGGCTCAGACTACAGTGAGCTGTCAGAAGTTCAAGAGTTGCTGCTGAGGGAGAGTGCAGAGGACACTGCAGGGCCTGACCCGGTCTGGGGTGGTCAGAGAAGGCTTCCCCATTGCACGTTTATCCTGAAACTTGAAGAACGAGGAGGAGTCACTACCAGGACAGAGTGGCGTGGGAAGAGCACTGCGGTTGAGGGAAGGGTACATCCAGGTCCTGAGTTAGGGGTATGGCACCAGGGCTGCTGGGGACAGACACACACAGGTGAAGAGCGGGTGGGCTGAAATCCAACTCAGTCTGCACTCACTAGGTCAGGACCCTCAGGCAAGGCTGCCTCTGTCCCAAGGGCATTTCTTCCCAGATCTCACAAAGGTGGCCTGGTGGCTTGAGTGCTAGCCCCATGCAGGGTTGCTGAGGAAACACCAGTGGCTCAGTGGGTGGAGAAAGGGATGGAGACACCTGAGATGAGGCTGGTGAGGTGGGCAGGCCAGGCCAACCAGGCTCTTGCACACGAATGACCTGAGCTTTGGGCTTTACCTAAGTGAGTAGGAATCCAGTGACAAGTTGTTTTTTTGTTATTTTTTGTGTTTGTTTTTGGTTTTTTTTTGGAGCTGGAGTTTTGCTCTTGTTGCCCAGGCTGGAGTGCAATGGCTTGAGGCTTGATTTCGGCTCACTGTAACCTCCGCCTCCTGGGTTCAAGTGGTTCTCCTGCCCCAGCCTCCTGAGCAGCTGGGATTACAGGCTCCTGACACCACTATCAGCTAATTTTCGTATTTTTAGTAGAGATGGGTTTCACCATGTTGGCCAGGCTGGTCTCCAACTCCTGACCTCGTGATCCGCCTGCCTCGGCTTCCCAAAGTGCTGGGATTACAGGCATAAGCCACCGTGCCCTGCCTCCGTGACAAGTTTTTAAGCCAGTTTCGGGATGAGACACGGCCTTAGCAGAATGACCCTGGCTGCCTTACGGCATATGCACGGTGGCGGTGGGGCAGTCTCCAGTCTGCAGGCCTGGAGAGCAGTGAGGGGGCCGGCATGAGGTCAGGAGGGGGTCTGGACTGTAGCGGTGGCCAAGAGGATGAAGTGAAGAGCGCTGTCTAGGAGGTAGGCACCCTGGGAGTTGGTGGTCACAGGCAGCAGTGGACCCGACGGGAGGAAGGCAGGTATGGCATCGAGGTTTCTCATGGGGGATCACTCACCAAGGCCCAGAACACAGGAGGACAAGCAAATGTAGGGGCAACTGTTTAATTGGAGACGTATGAAGTCTGGGGTGCCTGTGGGATGTCTAAGGAAATGAGCAGGTGTTCGGTTCCCTGTGACCCTCGTGAGAGCAGCTTCTGGGAGGTTTCAGGGAGAGCCCACATTGCAGGGGGTTTAAACTTGAGTAAGAGGTGAGGAGCTTTTCATTGGATGCTCTTCAGGTAGGCTTTCTCCACCTGCCCCAGCTCTGCCTGAAGGGCCACCAACCACATCTGTGCCCACTGCCCAAGGCACGACCGGGGGAAATTTGAGGCAGACACTGCATCCTGCAGGGCCTGCTGTGGAGGCTGAACTGAGGGCTTTGGACTCAGGATAAGTCTTTTGCAATTAGTTGGCCTCCCACCATGGAGTGGGGAGAAAGTGTGAGACCCCATGGGTGGGGCCAGAAGCCGTGACTGACAGGCCCCGCTGCACACAGCTCTGGGAAGGGCAGTTGCTGGCCTTCGGGCTTGTGAGAACCAGGACCCAGAATAGGGTCTGCTTGGATGAGGAGGGCCCCACTGAGGAGCCCCACTGATGAGTCCCGTCCCCAGGGAGCCTGCGCACATGATCCTGACCGTCGGAAACAAGGCAGATGGAGTCCTGGTGGGAACGGATGGAAGGTACTCTTCAATGGCGGCCAGTTTCAGGTGAGGTGCAGTGCATGGCTGCCCTGTGTGTGCTCCCAGGGCCTAAGGAGAACCTGCTAGGGGGAGGTGGCTGGGGAGGACCGGGACTCATGTGGGCAAAAGCTAGTGAGGCAATGCGGGCTTTGTGAGAATCGCAGGGCTCTGTGGGGGAAACGCAGCCTCTGTGTGGGGCGAGGGCTCCGAAAGGGGACAGAGACTTGGGAGGGTAGGGTTCAGCGCAGGGGAGGGGACTCATAGGGCAGTGGGTACCATGGGCACAAGGGGTTCAATGGAGGAAGGGACAAATGAGTGAGGGACTCAGTGAGGGGAAAGCTCAGTAGATGATACAGCTCAGTGGGGGATGGGCTCACTGGGGGATGGACTCAGTGGGGGATGGACTCAGTGAGGAATGGGTTCAGTAGGGGATGGAGCTCAGTGGGGGATGGGTTCAGTGGGGGATGGACTCAGTGGGGGATGGACTAAGTGGGGGATGGACTCAGTAGGGGATGGGTTCAGTGGGGGATGGACTCAGTGGGGGATGGACTCAGTGAGGAATGGGTTCAGTAGGGGATGGAGCTCAGTGGGGGATGGGTTCAGTGAGGGATGGACTCAGTGGGGGATGGACTCAGTGGGGGATGGACTATGTGGGGGATGGACTCAGTAGGGGATGGGTTCAGTGGGGGATGGAGCTTGGTGGAGGATGGAGCTTCAGATGGAGGATGGAGTTTGCTGGGAGATAGGTTTAGTGGGGATGGAACTCAGTGGGGGATGGAGCTCAGTGGGGGATGGGTTCAGTGGAGGATGGGTTCAGTGGGGGATGGGTTCAGTGGGGGATGGCCTCAGTGGGGGAAAGACTAAGTGGGGGATGGACTCAGTAGGGGATGGGTTCAGTGGGGGATGGAGCTTGGTGGAGGATGGAGCTTCAGATGGAGGATGGAGCTTGCTGGGAGATAGGTTTAGTGGGGATGGAACTCAGTGGGGGATGGAGCTCAGGGGGGATGGGTTCAGTGGGGGATGGGTTCAGTGGGGGATGGCCTCAGTGGGGGAAAGACTAAGTGGGGGATGGACTCAGTAGGGGATGGGTTTAGTGGGGGATGGATTCAGTGGGGGATGGGTTCAGTGGGGGGATGGGTTCAGTGGGGGGATGGGTTCAGTGGGGTATGGACTCAGCGGAGATGGGTTCAGTGGAGGATGGAGCTCAGAGGGGGATGGGTTTAGTGGGGAATGGAGCTTGGTGGAGGATGGAGCTTGTTGGGAGATAGGTTTAGTGGGGGATGGGTTCAGTGGGGGATGGGCTCAGTGGGGGATGGACTCAGTGGGGGATGGGCTCAGTGGGAGATGGGCTCAGTGTGAGATGGGCTCAGTGTGGGATGGAGCTCAGTGGGGGATGGACTCAGTGGGGGATGGACTCAGCGGGGGATGGGCTCAGTGGGGGATGGGTTCAATGGAGGATGGGTTCAGTGGGGGGATGGACTCTGTGGGGGATGGACTCAGTGGGGGATGGGTTCAGTGGGGGATGGGTTCAGTGGGGGATGGGCTCAGTGGGAGATGGAGCTCATTGGGGAATGGGCTTAGTGGAGCATGGGATCTGTGGGGGATGGGCTCCATGGGGGATGGGCTCAGTAGGACCCACTGGTGGAGCAGTCCACAGGAGGAGGGAGATAGGTGTCAGGGAGGGGATGCTGAGAGGCCTCCAGACTCAGATGCATAAGCCCAGATGTAGTCAGGTGGATCCCCTTCTGGGAGTCAAGCATTTATTCTGGAAGCTATTGCTGTCACAAGTGCAGGATGGGGCACGGAGAAGGGGATAGAATGGGAGGAGTGATGACCCACCAGGCCCATGCCTTCTTCTTTCAGGTCCAGTGAGCATGAGAATGCCTATGAGAATGTCCCCGAGGAGGAAGGCAAGGTCCGCAGCACCCCGATGTAACCTTGTCTGTGGCTCCAACCCCAAGACTCCCAGGCACCTGGGATGGATGTCCAGTGCTACTTCCCAAGCCCCCTCCTTCTTTGTGTGGAATCTGCAATAGTGGGCCGACTCCCTCCAGCCCGACGCCGGCCCTCCCCTCCCCTGAAGTATAGCCAGCCAAGGTTGGAGCTCAGACTGTGTCTAGGTTGGGGATCAGCTGTGGCCCTGGGGTCTCCCGCTCAGCTCAGAAGAGCCTTCTGGAGAGGACAGTCAGCTCAGCACCTCCCATCCTGCTCGCACGTCCTTCCCCATAACTGCGGAAGCGGCCCCAAATCCTGTGAAATAAAGACTTTTTGTATTTCTGAGGCTGAGGCCCACCAACAGCCCCTCAGGCTTCCAGTGAGTCCCCATCTTGCTTTCTGAATCACGACAATCGTCTTCCGACTTGTCATAGTGGCTTTAGGGGATTATCCAGGAAGCCCCTGTACCCACAGGGCAGCTGGGACCGAGGGGGCCCAGGCTGGGGAGGGGCTGAGAGTGTGTGGCCAGGGTGAGGGTAAGAGAGGGTTGGTGCCTTTTCTGGTGTTTGAGAGTGAAGCACCCTCAAATGGGAGTGTCTGATGACACGTGGGAGAATTGGGAGGCAGGAAGACCAGGACAGGTGAGCCCATTTCTGCCAGTGGGGTGTTTCTTGCCCCCTCAGGCCAAACCCTTTCTTCAACCAGAGCCGCCGGGCATGGCTTCCCAGGGCAGGGCAGGGCAGGGCAGACCCTGATATGAGCTAGGTGCCCCCAGTGCTGATCAGTTTCATGTATGCAGGGAAGGAAGAGGATGTCAGGGGCCCATGGGCCGGGGAGCTCACCCACTCTACCCTTGCTCCAGTCCCCGCCCCCAAAGCACCCTTCATCCCTGAGGCTCTGGGCTTTTCCTTGCACAGTGCCGTTCACCCTTTGCCTCTGTGCTGGAGGTGTCACGGTGGGTTCCCACAGATCTAGTCTGTCTCCCTCTGGTGGCCCCTCTGTGCTGGCTCTGGCATAGGAAGTGTCAGGAAGGAGTCTTGGGTTGAGACTCAGGAAGCCCAGATGTGAGTCCTGGGTCCTCTGCCAACTTGTGTGTGAGCTTGGGAAAGCTGCTGTCCTCTCTGAGCTGAGCTTTCTCTCCATGGAAGATTTGGCCAGTCTCACGGCAGAGCTGGAGGACAGCCCAGTCCTTGCCTATGCCTGCCTCGCCCAACGCCCAGTCCTGGAGTGGGAGTCGGGGTAGGGACGGGAGGATCAGGAAACTGGGTCCTAGTAGGAGCAGGGCAGAGGGGAGGCACGCCTTGCCTGGCTGGCGGAACCTGGAGGCCCCTCACCTCTGTGACTGTTGGCCTTATGGGAACAGCTTCTGTGTCTGTCCTGGGTGATAATCTGAGACGGACTCACCCAGGATAATTCCCAGATCCAGAGAAGTGGGGCCAGAAGGTAGGAGGCCATCCACCTTGTCCCAAAGGTCTCCCTTTGCCACTTGCCTCAACCTGTCACAGCCCCCTTGTTCCATGTTATGGCCATTCTTTTGCTATTCTAAGGCTTCACCAAGTACCACTGGGGAAGACTCATCTTAAATGGAAAGAATCTCTTCTCACCTCATTGGGTTTAGGATGCAGACAGCAGCAGAGGGAAGAGGCCTGGGGGTGGGGGAGCAGCAGCTTTGCTACAGGCCTATCCCTGCCTTTCTGTGTGTCTTGAGACAAGTCACCTCCCCTCTCAGGGCTTCAACTTAATGAACTACAGCTTGTGATTTCTACTCTAGGCTTTTGCTTACGTGGCTTTCTGTGACTCATGCCTTTTCACCCCACCTCTGCCCGTTTAAACTCTGCCCATTGTTTTTTCTTGACCCAGCCAAGGTTCCTCCTCTTCTGGGAAGTCTTCCTTGATTAGACCAGAGGGCAAAGCCAGGCCAGCAGCCAGCCCCGCTTCCCCACTCACTGAAGGAGAGACAGAGGTTCCTAGAGGGTCAGGCCTCTGCTAGGGCACACACAGCCCCCTCTTCCTTTCCTGCCTCCTGGTGGGAAGCTTCTGGCTGCCGGATCTGATTCTCCTTTCACGAGGCCACATTTCCTCCCAGCTCTGCCGTCAGTTGTCCCTGGGGGGTGGGAGTGGGTTCGAGTCAGGTCACCCCACCAGCCTGCCAGGGCCAGAAGGCAGAGCCACCCTCCCTGTCTCCCTGTGGCAAGTGAATCCCAGCTCCTCACACCTGTGAGGTTTTGCCAGGAGAAGCCTGCTTCTGCCCGGGCTTACCTTGCTCCCCAGCAGCTGTCTAGGGCCTCTCTAAGAGCCTCCTTGTCCCCCTTCTCATTCTGTCTTGCTCAATATGGGCAGATCTAAGAGAGTGGGTACCCACGGGGCTCCTGCAGGGGCTGGGCCGGCACTAACCTTACAGCCCCTCACCCTCACCTCATGTTCCTGCCCCGATCGGGGGCTGGGAGCAGGAAGCTGCTGGCCCCAGAACCGCTGAGACCCCCAATCCTTATCGCTCATTCCCACCTGCCAGCCTGGCCAGATCGGGGAGGGAAAGGAGGCTGGTCCCAGGCCAGGGTGGCGCTTAATGACCCTCCGGGGGCCTAATCTCAGACTGGCAGCCACGGAGTGGCTCAGGCGCGCTCCTGGAGAAGGCTGATAACGCACCAGCTGGGCCCCCACCATCTATCGCTGCACAGCCAGTCTCAGGGACGGCCTCCGAGGGCCTGGGGAGGGGAAGCCTCTGGACTAGGGCGGGGCTGGAGGCGAGCTCTCCGCCCTCAGCACTGAGGGAGAGGATCCTGAGCTCTGTAAGTGGCAGACAAGGGAGAGACCCAGCCTGCAGGAGGGGTGGGCTGGGTCCAGTGGGAACCCCCAAACCCCTGTGCTCCTTCTCTCTTTCCTGCTCTCTTCCCAACCTTTTCTCCACACATAGGACCTCTCCTGCCCAGGCCTTTCTCCTCTTTGTCTTTCCCAGCCTCCATCCATCTCTGTCTCCCTGTTTCTCGGTCTCTCCACCTCTGTTTTTGTCTCAACGTCTGCCTCTCTCCGTCCTGTCTCCCTTCCTCCTCCTCCACCTGAGCTCAGCACCCACCTCCTCTTTCTCCCTTGCATCCCTTTTCAGTTTCCAGCTGGTTCTGTTGATTGTTCCCTTCCCAGCTGTCCCCTGACTCCCAAGCTTCCTTGATGTCAGCCCTTGGCCGGGCAGTTCCCACGATCTCATTGGTCTCACTTCTGTGTGTGGCATCATCTCTCCGTGGTCCCTTCCACCAGCTCTCTGCCAGCACCACAGGCTGCCCCAAGCCCTGGCTCTTAGACCAGGATGTCTTACTGTTGAAGACATTTTTGCTCTTCCTGGAACAGGGCTCGCACCTTGTTTTCCCCCTCCCACCTAAAACGTGTAAGTTTCATAGGGTTACATTAGAGATAATACCCAAACTCAGGCAGGAAAGAAAAGCCTCCACCCAGCAACTGCACAGTTGAAGGGAGACTGCAGCACTGCTTACTTCTGTTAGACTTGAAGAGGAGCTGCCAACCAGGACCTGGCTTTGAAAACAGGCTGCGGAGTTCCATCTCCAGAGTGCCAGGTGGTCAAGGGGAGTTTCAAGATTACTGCCCTCATACTCAGAGTGACATGTGCAGAAATACTATCTGTTTATTGTGCTTCAAGCAGCCATCAGATCAGGACTATTGCTGGGCAAAGCCTTTTCCCGCAGCCTAGGGGTAGTAAAGGTGGGGGTAGAAGTGCTGGGGGTGGGGCCAGAATCACACACAGTCTGCTCTGGCCTCTTTGCCCAACTTCACAGGCAAGTCAGGTGGCTGAAGCCAGCAGAACTTGCTCTGGGACCAGGGTGGAGGCACCTACCTCCCATCCAGACCTGGCTGGGAGGTCCTGACTCCCCAGCTTGGCTTGGCTCTCCTCCCAGGTTTTTTTTTCTGTCCCTGGCAGTGCGGACGGTGGCCAAAAGCTTGAGCTTGGGAATCATGCCGATTGGTTCAAATTCCAGACCTGCTCCTCACTGCCTGTGGGATCCCCTAGCCTTTCAGATCCTCCATTCCTCCTTTGCCAGTAAAATTGGCTCTGTAGTACATTCCTTGCACAGCTGCTGGAAGGAAACAGAGATGACATCCGTGTTGTTATTGCTCCTGAGACTTGCCAGAAAGCCCTCCATGATCAACGTAGATGCCATTTCTTCCCAGACGCTCCTTTCCCCACTCCTGGGTTCAGCACTTCCTCTGGGCAACTTCAGCCCCTGCTCCTCCCTCTTTTTGCACCCGCCCCACCTGCTCCACTCACTCCACTCACCCCAGGGTGCTGTCTAGTTGTCTGCATCCCGCTCCTGCCCCGGGTCTGGGAGCTCCTCAAGGGCAGGAATGGAGTGACTTCCTCTCTGTGCACCCAGGACAGGGCTGGGCAGGAGAAGGGAAGCCGAAGGAGTGGTGGAGAGTCCCGAAGGAAGGGACTAAACTCCAGCCATCCGTCCAGCAGTGTCTGTTCACACCCCTCCTCCCTGCACGGGCGCAGACATACACATGCGCATATGCTCACTCTCTCTCTCTTTCTGGTTGAAGGTCCTGGGAGCCCTTCGGAACGCTGCTGCCTGGCAGGCCTACCGTTTAGAGCGCTGTTCTGCCTGCCCGTGGCCTCGGCTGCCACCTGGTGGCTGCGCGCTCTAAAGGAAGGGTAGATTCAGCAGAGCCTCGGAAGTTGAGCTTCAGGCGCCGCTCTTCCCCCTCACACTGGGACTAGACGCCTTTCCATGGCGTGGTCCCAGAAACCTCTCAGGTCATGCTAACAACTGGGTCTTCCCGTGGAATGCAAGGGCAGTGGGACCTCCGAGCCCCTTCCTTGTGGCCCCAGTAGCCGAGTCTGCGAACACCTCAACCACCCTGCACTTTTGGTGGGGTCAGCTTGGGCGCTTCGCCATCCTAGTCCTGACATTACACCTCTTCTTTCAGCAGGGGTCTGGGAGTCCAGTGGCTTCTGTCCTGGGCCATGTTTTTTCCAGAGGGTGAGAGATGGCAACATTTCTGGGACCTTGTTCCCTGGAGACTCTGGCCCCCTGAAGAAGCAGGATAGAGAGAGCTTGAGAGAGAGAGAGAGAGAGAAAGAGAGAGAGAGAGAGAGAGAGAGAGAGAGAGAGAGAGAGAGAGAGAGAGAGAAAGTATTAAGGATGAATATCAGTGTCTGCCCTGAGTAAATTGGAAGACGATGGCATCAGGGGCACTGCTCTGGGCTGTATAGACTGTGCCTTCACTAACAGGTCCCTGAGACCAGGTGTGGGCCCGTATCCCTGGAGGGAGGGGTGCCTTCCTCTGATTCGAAGGTATCATTTAGGCTAGTGAATGGCATTGAGAATGGCAGATGCCAGGGACAAGCAGGAGCATGTGTGGGATGAGGATGCGGCGCGGCTGTGTGACATTTCAGAGCCTGCAACACATCCATAGAGAAGCCCTGGAGGAGCAGTTGGGTGCATGGTGGAGTTCTGAAACTCAGCTGGGCAGTCGGCACTTGAGCCAGAGATTCTGCTTTCGACCTGGATGCCCATTGAGAGGTTAAGAGCTCAGGTCTGGGTCGGGCAGCTTGGAAGTAGCACAGCTTGGACACTTGGCAGCCTGAGACTGTGGATAAATCAACTTAATTCTCAGAGCTCCAGTTCACTGTAAATTGGGGCAGTAAATGATGTCTGCATGATAAGTGGTGTTATGAATGTTAAACATTCTCATGAAATGCATAGAATAGTGCTTAGCATACAGTACACAATAAATGTTAGCTATTTAAAAATTACTATAGTTATTCTAATTATTTATTACAGAGTGAACTGAATTGGATGCAAGATCATGGTGCTTCAGAGCTAGCAAGGTCCTTAGGATCATTTAGCCCAGTTTACTAATATTACACTATGGAATTTAAGCCCAAGGAAGGGACAGTACCTGACCAGGGTCATGTAAGGAGTCGAGTGAGAAGTAGGCTGGAGGCTCTGCGTGGCTGGCAGGTACAGAATGTGCCAAACCCATCTGCCAGCTTGGATCTCTTGAGGCATCAACACAATGGAGCTGGCCACACTGATTTGTTCCACACCGCTGAGACTGGTACAGTTCTGGACATGGACTTTGTAAATGAATAACTGGGCCTTTGGTCAGTTCTCGCTGTGAGTTTGGAGGTATGGGGTGGGATGGTGAGGACAGTTGGGGGCAAAGTGAGGAAAGGGGCAGGGAGGAGAGGGGAGAGAGAAAAAGGGGAATGAGACAGGCTGAGCTAGTGAACTGGAATTGGAGGTTGGGAAGAGGCTTTCCTTGATGGTGGTGGGGCTGTTTTCTTTTTAATTTTAATTTAATTTAATTTTAAGTTCCAGGCTACATGTGCAGGATGTGCAGGTTTGTTACATAAGTAAAAACATGGTGGTTTGCTGCACCTGTCAACTCATCACCTAGATGTTAAGCCCAGCACGCATTAGCTATTTATCCTGATGCTCTCCCCACTCTCATTCCCAACAGGCCCCAGTGTATGTTGTTCCCCATGTGTACTTATTGTTCAGATCCCACTTATAAGTGAGAATATGCGGTATTTGGTTTTGTGTTCCTGTGTTAGTTTGCTGAGGATAATGGCCTCCACCTCCATACATGTCCCTGCAAAGTACATGATCTTGTTCCTTTTTATGTCTGCATCGTATTCAATGGTATATGTGTACCATCTTTTCCTTATCTAGTTTATCATTTATGGGCATTTCGGTTGATTCCATGTCTTTGCTATTGTGAATAGTGCTGCAATGAATGTACGCTTGCATGTATCATTTTATTTTTATTTTTATTTTTGAGATGGAGTCTTATTCCATCACCCAGGCTGGAGCAGGTGCAATGGTACAATCTCTGCTCACTGCAACCTCCTCCTCCTGGGTTCAAGCAATTCTCGTGCCTCAGCCTCCCGAGTAGCTGGGACTACAGGTGCATGCCACCATGCCTGGCTAATTTTTATTTTTATTTTTGTATTTTTAGTAGAAACGGGGCGTTACCATATTGTTCAGGCTGGTCTCGAATTCCTATCCTCAGGTGATCCACCCGCCTGGGCCTCCCAAAGTGCTGGGATTACAGGTGTGAGCCACCACACCTGGCCGCATGTATCTTTATAATAAAATGATTTATTCCTTTGGGTAGACACTCAGTAATGGGATTGCTGGGTCAAGTGGTATTTCTGGCTCTAGGTCTTTGAGGAATCACCACACTGTCTTCCACAATGGTTGAACTAATTTACATTTGCCGGTGCTGTTTTCTACATTGAATCTGAGGGCTACCGTATGATGTGTAGGACACTTTCTGATTGGAGCCTCACAATGATCCTACCAGGTGGTTACAACTGAGCCCAAGTTTTAGAGGAAAAAAATGCAGACTCAGAGAGAGAAAAGTGATTTGCCCAAGGTCTCATAGCCAGCTAGTGACATTGAACCCTGGCCTTTTGACTTTAAATCTATGGCTAATTCTACCCCAGCATAGGGTTGTCTTTGGGGTGTGTGTGTGTGTGTGTGTGTGTGTGTGTGTGCATGAAATGAGGAGACAAAGAAGGAAACAGTGTTTGCCTTTGCAGAGCATGCAGTCCATTTGGAAGCATGCATGTGGGAAACTGGGGAGGGACCCTGTCAAGCATCTAAGAGGAGTGGTTGGCATTTGCTGTGTCCACCTCCATCCTTCTCACTCACTACTCAGTGCCTGTAGCCTCGCCTCTCTCCCCAACACTGTGCTGGGATTGCTCTCACCAAAGACACTATTGTCCAGCTCCCTGTTGAAAGGTAAGATAGTCTATCTGATTCTTCTGCTCTCAGTATAATAGGATAATTACCATTTTCTCTGGGAAGCTGTTCCTGACCATCTGCCCACAGCTCATCAAGCTCCTATGAGCCTGCAAACTCACCCTGGTCATGCTGCCCATCTCTCTGAACAAGACTGTGAACTCTGAACTCTGAAGTGGACCACATACACCTCTTTATTGCAATGTGCAAGTGTGTTGCATGGGCCTGGAATATAGGAGGTCTCAGAGAGCTATGTGTTGACATGGAGACCTTATCCCTTGCACTCACTTATACTGCTTCCAGTAAAGTATCAACTTCCAGATCAGCACCTTCAGCTCCATTCCCTCCTGCACAGCTCCACAGGCACCTCAGGTCCAAAATGGAATTCTTTATCTTTCACCAACCTGAGTTCTCTGTTCCTGTAAGTGGCACCCATTCACCCAGACCAGAGATCAGGGAGTCACCCAGAATCCCCCTCTCCCTCAGCCCCTGAGTTTCACTTTCCAACACATCTCCCTCCACTGCCACTCCCAGTTCCCCGGCTTCAAGCCTCGATCTTACCTGATGTTTGCAGCTGCCTGCCCCCTTGTTTTCATTTTCACCCCCAAATTTTCCTCTGCACTGCAGCTAGGGAGACCTTTCCTGCTAGAATCCAGCCATTCACACCTGCGAGAGGAATCTAAACTCCTCGAGGCAGGTGTAGCCTAGTGGCTATGTGCGTGAGCTTGAAGCCAAATTTCCCTGAGCAAATCTCATCCTGCCAATTTTATATTAGCGGGATGTACCCTAACAAGGGTATATCAGGGACTGAATATGCACATTAGGGATAAAATGAGGCCCATCTTATGAGGTTGTGGTGAAGAGTGAATGAGTTAATAGATGTAAAGAAAGCATATAGTATGCTCAGCGAATGACAGCCATCGTGATTTTCCTTTCCTTGCCTGCAATATCTCGAGCAGCCACTAGATGACTCCACCTCCTTCTCCTTTTCCAGTGCTGTCAACACACTACTGCTGGAACTTCTCCTGCCTCCCCTCCCCTCCCTCACCACACGTCTCCTTGCCTGTGTTGTTCATGTTTTTCCTTCTGCTAGCCTCACCTTCCTTGGGGTGTGTCCCTGACATCTTTTACTACATCTCAGCCTCAGCTCTTGGAGGGCGGGATGTCCCCAGGAAAACTGGCATAGTGCCTGCATCGAACAAATACTCAATGTTTGCTGAATGAATGAATGCGAGTTAGCCAATACCAGCTCAGCTACTTACATCACTTAGCCTCCCCAGGTCTCAGGATCTCCTTTTATCTGTGGTGACCATCCAGTGCAAAGCCCTAGCACAAGACCTAGCATGCTTTAGACCCATGGTTGCCATGCACAGCCAGCTGTCTGTCAGTCATTGCCCATTCCCATTGCTCACCAGCCATTGTGCACTCTATGTTCACCCCTGTTACCTCACCAAGCTGAGGGTCTTAAACGTAGTTTTACCTCTTCCCAAAAGTCATTCTTTACTTGGTAGGGTAGGGTCTAGAAATAGTCTGCAATTTGGTTAGAGTCTAGATTTAGTTTGCAACCCAGCTGGGCTGGGTAAGCCCAGGCTTGGCTGATGGTTCAGCTGAGCCCAGAGGTTTCCCATCTGCCTGGAAAGCATAGGCTCAGCCTCCCACTTCCCTGAACCCCAACCAAGCATCCTGGCTGGCTGTGCTCCTGGTCCTCTTTTTCTCTACTCCAGTTCCTGTCCTGGCTTGGGCTGGTTCCTGGCCACTCCTCATGGATCTC